AGTAATTCATCTTCCGGGATGTTTCTCAAGTAATTAGTCAAATCGTAGGTCACATTGCCTAAAGTTATATTAGCGAGGGATCGATCAGTTTTGTTGGTGCTTCGTAGGCGGCGTTCCGCGTTCGGACTGTACAAAGATTACAATGCTTTATATACAGTAAATTGTATTTCTCGCGTTATGACTTGTGTTTACGCTTTCTTGGTGTCGTGCAACAGCTCCGCTTGTTTGGCTTTTAAATGCCTTATCTTTATTCAGGCTACGGCCTTTTAAAGTCGTCGGCGCGCGCGATGTACGAAGCGACTGTGTTCTGCTATACTTCGCGACGCGACGTCTGGCTTATCGGTTTACGGCTCCGTGTGGATATTCGTCCTAATACAATATCATTCGTGCGGCTCGGAGTTTTACATTTACATATGGCCGATTCTCTGTGAAATCGAATGGCCAAAAAAATTTTTTTTCTGCAAATATGAAAAACTTGCTGTTCCCGATGTCAGAAATGTCCCCAAATTTTATTAGAATTTTTGGGACCATCTATCACTCTTTTTCAGGGGCCCGAAGTTGGCCATTTTAGGGTTTTTTTGAAATTCATGAAACGAGTGGGGCCTCCGCCGAACCGTACGTGAACGGGCTGGCGCTGAGAGAGAACGATTTAATGGCCACGTGATCGATTAACGGGTACTCACCGGCTGGAGTTTGAACTTTATTTCGGCGTCGGACCCGCGTTCCACAATCGGAAGTTCCTTGGGCTCTCAGCACAACGGAACAGAACTATTAACCGGAATTATACAAAGGCTAGAATCACTCTTTGTGACGAAGCACAATAATTATCAAATGACTTTACTCGCGGTGATTAGAATATCAATTACGTGCGTACGCACCAATTGTCGAAATAACAGTCGGCTCTCGATCGTCATACGGCCCACGAGACGCTCCGAATTCTCTCTTTCCCCCTCTCAGCGGCCGTCGGCCGCAACCGGCTCGTCGCACGGAAGGCGACATAGACGTCAGGCGCGTCTGCCTCTGCTCCACCTGCCTTTTAGGTGTGAACAGTTGTGCAGAGCGTGCACAGTAAACAAGTAGTCTATAATATAATAAAAGAATAAATAATGTATAGTAATAAGTAATTATATTGTATTTGGGCGTTTGCCTCATAAACGGGAGAGAGAGAGAGAGTAACAGATATTATATCCGTTACACAACATTGAGTAACGTGCAGAAACTAGCAGTAACGTGCAGTATCGTGCAGTAACGTTTAGTAACGTTAAGTCACGAGCAGTTACGTGTAGTATAGTGCGTAACTGAGCATTACGTAGCGTTACTTTGCATTACCGTGCGTTACCATGCGTTAGCGTGCGTTAAAGTTGAGTGACATTTAGTAACGTGCAGCAACTTGCAGTAACAAGCAGTAACGTTCGGTAACGTTTACAAACGATAAGTCACGAGCAGTTTCGTGTAGTTTAGTGTGTTACTGAGAGTTATATAGCGTTACTGTGCGTTATCGTTCGTTACCGTTCGTCAAAGTTGAGTGACGTTCAGTTACGTGCAGAAGCTTGCAGTCACGTGCAGTAACGTGCAGTAACGTTCAGTAACCATCAGTAACGTTAAGTTACGAGCAGTTACGTTTAGTATTGTGCGTGACTAAGCGTTAAATAGCGTTACTGTGCGTTACCGTGCTTTAACGTTGAGTGTTGTTCAGTAACGTGCAGCAGCTTGCAGTGACGTACAGTAACGTTGAGTAACGTGCAGTAACGTTAAGTCACGTGCAGTTACGTGTAGTATAGTGCGTTACTGAGCGTTACATAGCGTTACGGTTCGTTACCGTGCGTTACTAGGCGTTACCGTGCAGCAACTTGCAGTAACGTGCAGTAACGTGCAGTAACGTGCAGTTACGTGTAGTATGGTGTGTTATGTCCGGGCTATTTGTTAAATAATACCTGCTGTCTTTCTTTGTCCTTGTTCTTCTTGGGCGTTTTTTCTTCGCCGCGTTGCTGCTGCCGTGTTTCGTCCTCTTTTGGAGCTTGCTCTTTAGGCTCTGCCACTGCTTGATTAACAAGCTGAAGTTGATTTTTAACAAAGATTTTGAATCTATCGTATAAGTTTTCGATAAACCCAGGCTCTTGGTTTTTAACAGTTGTATTATTTAGTAGTGATTCGTATAATTCTGCTGGCGTAAGATTTGTTTCTTCTAATTCGTCTTTATCTAATTGATCAATAAATTCTTGTATTACCTTGGGTTCCGGTGCGGCTTGCTTATTTTGCAGCTTATTGTTTAGCTTACTTGGCCTGATCGTTACTTTGGTTGGATGCGGTGTGCTTTGTGCGGTTGGTGCTCCCGAAAAATCTTCTACATTGATGAATGTGGACTCACCCTCTTTCTCACTTTCTTCTTCGATGGTGCTATCCAGCCAAATTTTTTTTTGTCCTCTATGTTCTCGAAAGTTGTGCTCTATGTTCAATTGATCTAACACTCTTATTTCTGATTAGTCGGCGGTAAGTTTGAATTTCAATTCACTCACGAGATCTTTATTACCCTCGGCCTCTTTTTTCTGTTCACTGAGATCTAAGTATTTTTCCCAACGGGTCGATTTATTCATTTTGCACTAACCTCATTGTCTCTGTGACCATGTTAACGCGAATAAAATTTTTGCAATCGGTGTTCAGATGGATATTCACAGATCCGTGGTTCGATTCACGCGGGCCGATGGACCATTGTTATGTCCGGGTTATTTGTTAAATAGTACCCGAACGTTTATTGCAATCTAACTGCACAAAAATCTGAGATACACGTTTAAGGATTGACACAAGACTTTTATTATCGGGTTTGCACATATAAAATAAATATTATATTTTTCGTTACACTTTTAGTTACGATGTACCACGCGATTGGCTCAGCTGTAGTTCAATTACAAAAAACTAGGATAAGGTGTTAGCGCGTGAAGACCGCAAGATGTTAGTGCATCTGTCTGCAAGAGCTGAGAGCCGACCACCCGAGATCACAAAGATGCGCGCTATATATAATAATTGTTGAATCCCGAATTACAGTGGGGCGATATTGGAAGATTACCCGAATTCGCGTAAGCTATCCCGTGACTAGCGCGTGGTACGATAACCCATAAATTACATCATTCTTTTATTACCCCTTTTTAATGACGTTATATCGAAAAACTCGAGGTCGAGAAACAGCGTGACGAGACTCGATTTTTTGGATATAACAGTGCGTTACTGTTTGTGACCGTGCGTTACCGTGCGTTACCGCGCGTCAACGTTGAGTGTTGTTCAGTAACGTGCAGCAACTTGAAGTAACGTGCAGTAACGTGCGGTAACGTTAAGTCACGAGCAGTTACGTGTAGTATGGTGCGTTACTGCGCGTTACATAGCGTTACGGTTTGTTACCATGCGTTACCAGGCGTTACCGTACAGCAACTTGCAGTTACATGCGGTAACGTTCAGTAACGTTAAGTCACGTGCAGTTACGTGTAGTATGGTGCGTTACTGCGCGTGACCGTGCGTTACCGAGCGTTACCGTGCGTTAGCGCGCGTCAACGTTGAGTGACGTTCAATAACGTTCGGCAACCTGCAGTAACGTGCAGTAATGTGCAGTAACTTTTGGTAACGTTCAGTAAAGTTAAGTCACGAGCAGTTACGTGTAGTTTAGTGTGTTACTAAGCATTACAGAGCATTACTGAGCGTTATCGTGCGTTACCAGGCGTTACCGTGCGTCAACGTTAAGTGACGTGCAGTGAACGCGTTCACCTGGGATCCATTGCGGAATGATATCGAGGCGGCGCCACGAGAGTGATGTGTATGGACTTGTACGAGTTTCCGACGAAACCGTCTTGCGTACAACTAAGTGGCGGCTGCGCACGAAGCGAGTGCGAGGACTGATATAACCGAGAAAACTACCGGACCGCTGCGACGAGATGCCTTCCGTCCCAACACAGGACCGCTGCAACGACTAGCGACTGCGTGCGCGTGCACGTCCCGGACGTAGTAGTTTGGAAGTGGAGGCGCAAGTGATGTGTATGGACTTGGACCGATGACGAGATCTGGTGCACCGCAGGGTTTCGCAGAGCATAGTGCATGGATTGAACGACTGCAGGCGAGGGTACTGCAAGAGGGACAAGGGGACATTGTGAGAGATGCAAGTGATGCGTATGGACTTTGCAATGCAGCCAGCGGCGACTCGGTTGCTCTTCAGTAGGAAGAGAGTTCGAGGACAGCTTTACACCTCCCGGTAGTGATCAAGCTGAGACAGTCGGGATGCGCGCGTGGGTAAACGGCGGGAGTAGATCATGGCTGCTTAATTCGACCCGAAGCCGGCTCGAGCTCAACCACTAGTCACGGTCCGGTTTAACGAGATTTCCACTGTCCCTATCTCATCCCCCTCCTGGTTGGGCGCGTTGTAGTCGCGAGGGGACCCGAACCCAGCAATGGGTCGCAAAGGTCTAACCACCCCGAGGTGAGCGCCCCTCGGATACCGTAATCCGTGCGTTGCCTTCAACAACCCTCACAGAGCGTGGTGAGGGTACGTTGGCGCGTACGGACCGATGGCTTGGCTTAACCGCCCGGCCGCGAGGTGGCGTCCTTTATAAAACCCTGCTTATCCTAAGCTTTGTGTTGGCGGCGAGAGGATGAATGGCGGGGGGCAGCTCCGTCGTTAGCCAACCGAACTCCGTGGGCTGTGGTGGCTCACGGTTTTATTGCCTTGCCGGGGTAAGGGCGCACTGCCTCGGTCGACCGCTGTGCTTCGTCCCACGGGTTGATAGTCTCCCTCAAGGGTTCGCCTGAAGGGGGAGACGTACGAACCAGATGATATGAGTAAACCAAACCCAGCCTCGGAAAATAGTAAGGGTGTAGGGGATGGCATGGAGAAGGATGGGAGTTGTACTGGCAATTTCTCTAAGGGTTTAACGGTAGAGGAATTAGAAAAAGAGGTTGTGAAAACAGAGGAGCAGATTTAAAAGTGTGACAACAACCTGGAGAAATTTAGAGCACAACGCATGTTGGGAGGGAAGGACATCAAGGAAAAGATTCAATTGGAGGAGAATGTCAAACATGCATTTGCGGTGAGGCTTAAGAACCTCATCGCAGAGGTACACGTTTTAAAGGAAGGGAAGGTGGAGCAGCAGCAGGAAAAATTAGAGAGAGAAAAGAAAGCGGAGCAACTGAGGGAAAGGAGAAAAAAGGAAAGAGAGTCGAGAATAAGAAAAGAGGATGGCACAAAAGGGAAAGGTAGGACAAAAGGGCTGTCTGATTGGAGCAGGTCCAGTGAGGAGAATGAAGAGGACGATGATAGCTACTTGGATAGTGAGGAGGAAAAGGAGAAATGGCAGGAGAGAGAGAAGCGCAGGAAGTTGTCCGGCATCGTTCCACAGGTCTCGCTGACGAGGGTTGACTTGACAACTGTTGACCCCGAGAAAAGTGTGTACAGTGAGGATCCGAAGATTCAGAAAAGGATGGAAAAGCTGGAAGAGATGAAAAGGAAGAAGAAAGGGGAACAGAAAGGGGACATGATGGAGAGGTGGAAGGAGGTCACCATCTCGATCACTGAGTACATGACTCGGGACGATGTTAAGATCACCAAGCAGGCCTCGGGTCAGGTGATGAGAAGAGTGCTGGACCTCCAACAAATCGTGGTAGAATTAATAGGGGAGAATAAGGAACTCACAGCAAGGTTGGATGAAAAAGAAAAAGAAAATGAAAGGTTGTGGACGGAGATAAGGAAAGGTGGTAGAAATAGAAGAGACGAATTGGAGGTAGCAGCAAGTGAGGAGGAGGCGATGCATTGGCAAGAAGAAACAACGGTCGAGGAAAGTAGGAAAAAGGCAAGGAAGACGCATGCGGTGGTTGTACAGGGAAAAGGCATTAAGGAACCGGAGGAACTGCAAAAGAAATTATGGGGGGTCACTAAAGATTTAGACATGAATGTAGAGAGGGTGAGAAGGATACGAGATGGAAAGATAATTCTGGAAATGGCCACGGAGAAAGACAAAAAGAGGATACTAGAGAAGAGGAGGATAATGGAGTCGGGAATAAAAGCAGAAGAAGTTAAGAAGTATCGACCGTTGATGAGGATAGGAGGAGTAGAAAAGGAGATGAAGGATGAAGAGCTGCTAGAGGAGATCTGGAGGAGGAATTTCAAAGAACAGCTGACGGAAGAGGACTATAAGAAGACAGTGAACGTGAAAATGAGAATATGAAGAAGGGATGGAAATGTAGTGAGTGTCATCTTGGAGGTTGACCCGGGAATGAGGGACCGTTTGGTGGAGAAAGGAAGGGTGTTTATTGGGTGGAGAGCGCATAGAGTTGAGAAGTTTGAGCAACCTATGCGCTGCCTTAAATGCTATGGGTTTAGCCATAAGGCAAAGGATTGTAAGAAGAAAGAAAGGTGTGGCAATTGCGGTGAAGAGGGTCACAAGAGGAAAGATTGTCAGGGAGAGGTGGGATGTGCGGTCTGCAAAGGGAGAAAGAAGGAGGGAGGGCACAGCGTCTGGTCCGAGGTATGCCCGGAGGCGAAGTGGAGATTGGAGAGGTGGAGAGAAAGAACGCTGGAGTAAAGACGGAAAGGGTAGCCACGCAGTACTATCCAGGGATACTACTTGCGTGGTTCACTAAACGGAAGTAGGATCGCACAGCTCCCTCCGGTTATAGGAGCGAGTGTGGTGTGGTCCTGCTTGGGTGTGTTGGAAGAGGTTGTTTTTGATGAGGAAAGGTGTTGGAAGGAAAAGGGTAGAAAACGTAGGAGCTGAATTGTAAAGTGGAAAGCGAAAGGAAAAGGAAAGTGGCAACGAGGAAGTGTATTGAAGGGTGTACAACGCAGGGGGGTGTCCTTGGGCACCTTCGGGTCTGGCAGTCCCGCGCACCCGAGCTGGCCCACCATGTGTTGGAGAGACAAGTCTCCAATCATGGTAGAGGCCCCTCACAGGGTCTCGAACGCCGACCGGGCGATAAACGGTACCGCGGGGTCGGGGAGCCCCCACGGAGGTAAAACTCCGTGGCCCCGACACTGGGAACGGACTCGCGGCGGCAGTAGTTACCACCCTACATCGCTTCGGGTAGTGGACGGGTTGGGTGAAGGAGCTGTAAGCGTAACAGCTCTAAGCAGCTCTAGATCCGTTACCTGTCCACGACGTGTAAGTTGCGGCCTCCACTCGGGCGCCGGCCTGCATAGCCGGAAGGGGTAGAATAGGCCCCGCCCCCCACCGAGGGGCCCACTGGAAGCTTGTCCCTTCCAGTGGGAATTCGGTATTCGGGGTTGCCTGAGTCTTCGGGTTCCTGGGAGATTTCGATCTCTCGGCAAACCGGTGGCGAGGTCAGTCCCGACGCGCTGGCTGGGCGTATCCCAGCCCCTTTGTCCAAGAGGACCGTGTGGATAGACCGAAAGGTAGGAGCCGCACGCAAAATCACGACTTTCATAAGTCCCTATCTCATGATTCAGCGAAATGGCTGTCAAGGGGACATGTAGCTGCTGCGAACACCTTGTGTTGGGGCAATCTGAGTTCTCCAGACCAGTAGCAATGGGAACACCTGAAAGCCATAAGTGCCGATGTCGTTGTGTCCCCGAAGCTTAACTCGTTAAGCGCCCGCTGAATGTCAACGGACTACCGGAGGATCGAAAAGTACACTTGGTACTTTGAGACATCCAGTAGGACGGCCAAAGCGGCAAGGCTATCAGGCGCAGCTGGAGGAACTTTAACGAACCGGCCAAACGGGAGGAGACCGTTAAAAATTTCGCCTCGCATGAGCCACTGCGCCTCTTTGCGATTTGAGTTCCAACCTGCTCGGCAGGTAACTCAAAGTAGTCGTTCTGAAGAGAGGAGATTGCGGGGTTATTAGATTCCAAGTTACTCTTCTCGACAGCAGAGTCTTAAGGCCACTGAATTCGACGGGATCCATGGTGGCAGGACGAGTTTCGGGCCCACCCATGATTTGAGAAAGCAGTTATACATTGTAACGATGTTACGGACGACGAGCGCGAGCCGTTACGCAGGAATGCCGTGTGTATGCGTGTGACGCGCGACCGACCAACTGACCGTGCAGGGTGAAGGAAGGGCCGAGCGCTTATAACCTCCGTGCGCCGCGGCAGCGTAGGCACGTGCTCGACGGTTACCGACTGAACGAGCGGCGCGGCGACGGGCCGCAACTTGAGCAGCGGCAGCGGCGGCAGCACGGAAGACGAAGCGAGGAAGAAGAAGGCACGTGAAGCGACGCCATGACGACTACGACTGCGGCTCGTGCGAGTGCGAACGACGAGGTCCGAGGCTAAAAAGCGAGTTTCAATAGTAGATAAGCCGACAAAAAGCGAGTGATCGTCGCGTGGCGAGCGAGTGTGTTGGAGAGAGAACGAGAGTGAAAACGGGAAAAGAGAAGCGGTGTCCGAGGCGAGTGCGCGAGAAAGAAAAACCAAGTCGTGGGCGTGCGAGCGAGGTTAAGTCGGCCGAGTGCGCGACGACGACGAGCATCGCGGCCCGCATCCCGAAGTGCTGTGTGGGCCTGTGGAGTGCGCAGCCTGCATCGTGCGATTACCGGCGTGGCAACAGACACCCAGCACGAGTCGACGAGTGAGCAGCGGCCGATCCACCACACCAGGACTCGGACAAGTCTGCAGCGGACCGCGAGCGGACAACGGCATGACGTCGCCGGACCGAGGCGAGGAGATTGTAAGCGTTTCACCTGTATTTCCTAGTCTTGGTCGGTCGTGTGTGTACGTGAGTGTGTTGTGTGTCGCATGACGTGGAACGAGCGAAGAGTCGGTCGCGTAATACATAAGTCGAGTCGACGAATTGTTATCGTGTGTGTGTGATTGGTCCGAAGCGAACAAGTCGCAATTACGTCGCGCGCGCTCCGAGTTTGTAAGCGGCCATTTCGCAGTCCGGCGTATCCGCTCGCGCGAAAGCAGCGAAGCCGTCGCAGGCCGAGCCACGTGAAGTCAAGTCCGCGTGTTATTAAGGTCGCGTCACGAAAACGGGATTCGAACCGGGCACGTGTTGTGACTCGGCGGGTCCCCTTGGACTTTCGCGAGCGAACTCACGCGACATAAGGCTTCGCGCATAGCGAGTCAGAGACGCGCGAGTGCAGGTGCGCAGCACGATATCGGGATTCGAACCGAGCTCGTATTGTTACTCGCCGTCTTCCCCTTGGACCTTATTGCACGAAACCCGTATGGTATTGTGACATCACTAGAGTAATTGTCAAACTTTCCTTTGTCATTTATCTACAGTTGAGCAATAATTCGACGATCTTTCTTAATTAATAGAATAAATAATAACTTAACGTAAGACAATAAACGATTGATTTGGATTTAAATTAACTCCCTCTGGTGGTCATTTTGCGAACCTTTCCGACTTTTCAGCACACATTCGCCGACGCTCGAGGCACATTTGGTGGAGGGCTCGACCCCCTTTGAGGTAAGACGACCAGTTAGGCTAACCGGAGCCTCCGAAATAAATAATTAGACGGCAGGGCGAGCACAGGCTGCTGCCTAGACCCTCGCACGTCACAACATATTGGTCATGCACCTCTTCGTTGTGCAGTAAGCACGTAAGACCGGTGTAAAGAGTACGCAGGCCAGAACAAGGAATGATCCTGGGGTGAACGGTCTGCAGGTCCTGTAGTGCTCTGTTCGAAAAGCCGCGGCGCAGAGTAGCAGCGGGGCAACTGTCGACCAAGTAGCCCTTGGAGCGATCCTCATGCTGGATTGAAGCAATGGAGGGAAACTGAGAGACGACTTTTAAATTTTAGCGAAGGACAAAGCACTCGGGAAATCCCGCAGATTTTTGCTCCTGTACAAATTTGCGCCACCAGCGAGAGGAAGGAACGGCGACCGTTTCTAAACCGCTAGAAGGATCAAGTAAAGCCAATAGACTCGGCCGACGATCCTTCGAAACTCAGACCGTTGAGTATAACAGCGGTGCCCAGGGTGAGAGGCGCCAAGCGGTTCGGAACCTCCAGCGTCGGCCAGGGAGGTTTGAGTTTACAATCGAACAGCTCTCACAAGCCCCAGGCTCTAAAGAGTAGGGGTAGGGTTGGACTCTTGGTGGCAGATGGGTTAATGATCCGTTAGCGATCAAAATGCAAAACATTCAGTAGCTAAGCTGAGTGTGCTCCTACCGAGGGCCAAACCTCTAGCTTACTGTAACCGTCGCTCGATGAGGGTGTGATGAGGCGGGAGCCCAGCACCGATTCTGATGTTCACAGTATCAACCTTGATGCTGCTGGGCGTCAGTTGAGGTCATCAGATCACCTATTGGAACAGAGCAATCTGAGAGAATGAAGGATCAGACGGGGGGTGGCTTTAGAGGGTCGGTACCAGGAAAGCCCGATGATACGCAAAGCTGAAAATCGCTGACCTGCTGAACTTATGAACAGGCGATCAAATTAACTTAAAAGAGAAGTAAGCACAGCCATAGGGAACCTGGGCCTATGACCAGGCAATTGGTTACGTGTCTCTCTACCATCATACGAAACGTTTCGGTGGAAATGGATTCTTTTGTTCATACGATCCCGTACGAAGGCCAGTAGGCGCTGAGTGGTATGGGTCGAGAGTTGTCGGCTTCCAGGAACACCGTGCGTAGTATAATATGGCGAATGAGACAGGGCGGAGAAACGCAATGCGTATATGTCTTCCCGAGTAAAAGTGCAACACACGCCAACTGTCCCTATCCCATACCCCCTCGTGGGTTGTGATTTTGTCGCAGTGAGGGGGCGCGAGTTCTGTTGGATGGCAAGCCAGCCATTTTACGGAACCGCTAACAACAACCCAAAAACCTTAAGATGAAAATGGCTGAACAAACGAATATTACTACCCCAGGCGCTAACCCCAACAATTTGGTAAATCCGCCCGTTTCCTCCGTACAGGTTACAGCCCTGTTGGCCTCCGGCTGCCCCTCGGATTCTGGGGAGGGCACTTTTAGCGATAAGATTCTGGATGTGTTTGAGCTTGCCCTTGGCAAGACGAAGAACCAAGACGAAGCTTAAGACAAGGTGAAAAAAGAGACTCTTGAGGTGGATGCAAATGGAAGCAAGGTCCCGAGCAGGCGCAGCAGCGTCAGCAGTAATACCAGTAACGTGAGTAGGCAAAGCGATTCTGCTTAAATTAAACGCAAGAGGTCCATTCTAGATGTGGGCGATCCTGGTCCTGAGCTGAACTTTTATATGCAGGCTGAGGATGAAATAAAAATCATCCTTCATACCTTTGAAT